GATATACTTGCTGCTAAATACAATACTGTTTTTACAATGTGAAGAAAATATATAAAATATTGTCTGTTGTATGCAAACATAATCAAATGATAATATCGTTCTGAAAACCAACACTACGGGGCATAAATATGATGTCTAACACTACCTAATGAGACGAAATATTGATACATATGTCTAATTTATATATATATATATATATATGTAACACATTTGTAAATTACTGGATTTGGGTTTTATATGAACAAATATTTTATTATTTGTAAAAATATATATATATTTATATTATATGTAAATGCACCCGCCAACAGTCAAATACTCAGTAAATACAAATATACATTTTTTTCATCACATCTCATATATATATATATATATATATATATATATATATATATATATATATATATATACAAACAAACACGCCATAGGGTATACAATACTCAGACACGTGTTCTGCAATTTATGGTTAAGTTTTGTATTGTCCACAATTCTCTCCCCTATATGACAGATTCATATTGCACACATTCCCTTTAATATACTTTCACAGTCACTTCACATAATAAAACACTGCAATATATATTAACATCTCTATGATTGCACCGCTTATTGAAGTGCTATGTTCACATTATGGCAGATATGAAGATCTGTTATTGTACATTCTATACAGCCCCATCATAAACTGCAGATAAACCCACACATAAAACTGATGTATTCAACACCGAAATACAGGACATTCACATCTTATTTTTTTTACCCGCTGCTAGAAATGTGTCCTCTTTATTCCATAGTGTATTCTGGCATCTTATACTACTACTGACAATTGATCTCCACACCATCCACCATAAATGAGTATATAATAATATTAATAATAAATAATAAATACGATTTTAATATATATGGAGAGAAAGAGAGAGAGCGTGCATACGATGCAGAGTACATATGACTAACTACTTTTTATTTATGTACAGAAGCAATATAAAGATCGGTAATTATGTACCCTGTAACCCTTATGCAACAAATAAGGTGTCACTTCACTGACGGTGTTGTTGTGTGTGTGATATATATATATATATATATATATTATATTTTTTATTTTTTCGCTTTTTATAAGGATTTTCAGTGTTGTACTTAGATTTTTTTTTTTTTTTGTTCTCATTATTACACATTTACACCTTACACTGTGGAGGAGTTTTATTAAAACTGTAGCAGTCGGAATTGGGAACAGCTGTGCATGGTGGCCAATCAGCTTCTAACTTCAGCTTGTTCACTTTAAGCTTTGGCAATGAAAGCTAGAAGCCGATTGGTTTCTTTGCACGGTGTCTATCTGATCAAGTCTCAGTAATTTCCCCTTTTGTATATACTTGTATATGTAATACATCATGATACCATAATAAGCTGTATACATTGCACAGTTGTACATCTGTGTGTCCTTAGAGGGAGAAAATGTATTGTGGGGTCTCTTTGACATTACTATATATATATATATATATATATATATATATATATATATTATACTGATTGTAATATGCTATATACATTGCACGGTATGCATTCCAGGGAGAAAGTGCATTGACATGACCATCTTGCTATATATATATATATATATATATATTCCTATACTTAATATACTATAGACGTTGCACAGTGAACATATGTGTGTCCTTAGAGGGAGAAATGCATTGTGGGGTCTCTTTGACATTACTATATATATATATATCTATTATTATATTATTATATATATATTTTTAAACACTGCCTGTAATATGCTATATACGTTCCACGGTGTACATTCCAGGGAGAAAATGCATTGACTTGACCATCTTCTTATATATATATATATATATATATATAATATATAATATAATTTATAATTAATATGCTGTATACGTTGCACTGTGTACATTCTGTATGTGTCCTTAGAGTACAATGTGGGGTCTCTTTGACATTGCCATCTATACAATATACAGTATATATATATATATATATATATATATATATATACAGTATACTGATTGTATATACTATATACATTCCACAGTGTACATTCCAGACAGACAGAAAATGCATTGACTTGACCATCTTCATATATATATATATATATATTTATATATTATTATAATTTTTAATATATATATAATTAATTAATATGCTGTATACGTTGCATTGTACATTTTTGTATGTGTTTTTTTTAGAGTACACTGTGGGGTCTCTTTGACATTTGCCATCTATACAATATTTTTATATTATATATATATATACAGTATTTTGATTGAATATACTATATACATTCCACATGTACATTCCAGACAGACAGAAAATGCATTGACATGCCCATCTTATCTATATATATATGAACACGATCGTATACTGGACATGCTGTATACATTGCACTGTGTACATTCTGTGTATCCTTAGGGTAAGAGTACATAGTGGGGTTTCTCTGACACCCCCCCCCCCCCCCAGCCCCCTGTAGGAAGACACAGTGCCAGTGGGTGCCAGTTGTCAGCGTGTTGCTCTCTCCCATGATCGCCCATAGGGATGCATAGCCTGTGTCAGCTCAGTTCACCAATCCCCAGGGACAGCAGGTCCTACCTATCACGTGACTCTGCCCATACAATTGCCCTGCTGTGAAGAGTTGAAGTCTGCCCCAGTCACTCGCACTCCCAGGTCAGCGCAGCAGCAGCAGCAACAAGGCGTCTTCCTGAGGACTCTCACCCGATCCGGGCGTCCTCCCTGCAGGGTGAGCAGCAGTGGGATCCTGGGCCCGAGCTCTCCATCTCCTGCAGGGCCCCGAGCAGAGTGAGTACCTCTCTCCCCCCTGCAGCCCCATATCTAAGCAGCTGCCCTTATCTGTCAGATAAAGCAGGGGAGGCAGATCCGGATACAGTGCTGGAAGATCAGCAAGGACACTGATTTACACCGCAGCCGCCTGATAATCTGCCGCATAATGACGGATGGATCGCTGTTATCACAATACAAATGTTTGCGCTTGATGCACGATTTATACCCCGTGTTATCAAAAGGCTGGAAGCCGCGTGAGTACAACAGAGACCCAGTGTCCCCAACACAGCCAGGCGGACTACACCTCTGCCAGCCGGAGACATCCTTATCATTTGGAGGCAAATTGTCATTTGCAACCATTCTCCTTGCTGGTTAGGAATGGCAATGTCTCGTCAAAGCCATGCCAGGCATACAGAGAATGCCCACACGTCCCTGTCATGGGCCCTGGATTCGTGATTTCATTTTTCTGAAGCAAATTGCAGCATTTACCAAGCATTCCTCTTTTGTAGGGGGTGACCATTCAGCCATGACAGGACTGAACGTGTTTGATGTCCTTTCATCAAAGACAGAATGCCCAAACCTTGGCATTATTTTTTTTTTTCCAGATTGTGGTAACTCCAGGGCAGGCTATCCCTGCAGGGCCTAGACTTCAGTATGCCATTCATGGATAGGATACCCAGGTCCCCCTGGGATGTGTCCTTGAAGATATGACATAAAAGGAAAATGTATGTCGTATTTGATACCTGGAAGGGCAAACTTGCGGCTCTGAGCTTGCATTTGTTATTTACACTCTACAGATAAATATTTGTGGCAATCTTTTTTTTGCCCTCAATTATGGGTCAGCCGAGGCCTTCTAGTCTGGGTGGGGGGGTAACAACCTACATGTCCTACCAGGGGAGGAGTACCCAGTGCTCTTAAACTGCACATCAATTACAATTTGCTAACCCCCCCCCCCCCCCCCCCCCCCCCCCCCCCCCCCCATTGACGGGTAACTCAGAATCCTTCAGCTTTGGAGGAACCAGGTGCTTAGGGTCTGAAAGGCATGCTTTGAAACCCAGAATTGTCCAGATTTGGGGGAGCTAGAGATCCGAGGGTGCTCAGGGCTGGGGGAGCATCCTTGTAACCCAGCTTCGTACAGTTTTGGGGGAACCTAGAGATCTGAGGGTGCTCAGGGCTGGAAAGGTTTGTAACCCAGAATTGTTCAGTTTTGGGGGAAATTTTTAGCGGTCTGAGGGTGCTCAGGGGCTGGAAGGGTTTTTTTAACCCAGAATCGTCCAGCTTTGGGGGAACCTAGAGATCTGAGGGTGTTCAAGGGGCTGGAAGGGTTTGTAACCCAGAATCGTTTTTAGCTTTGGGGGAACCTAGAGATCTGAGGGTGTTCAAGGGGCTGGAAGGATTTGTAACCCAGAATCGTTCAGCTTTGGGGGAACCTAGAGATCTGAGGGTGTTCAAGGGGCTGGAAGGGTTTGTAACCCAGAATCGTTCAGCTTTGGGGGAACCTAGAGATCTGAGGGTGCTCAGGGCTGGAAAGGTTTGTAACCCAGAATCGCCCAGCTTTGGGGGAAAAACCTAAGAGATCTGAGGGTGCTCAGGGCTGGAAGGGTTTGTAACCCAGAATCGTTCAGCTTTGGGAGAACGAGATCTGAGGGTGCTCAGGGCTGGAAGGGCACCCTTGTATCCCAGAATCAAAATCAGTTTTGGGGAAACTAGAGATCTGAGGGTGCTCAGGAGCTGGAAGGGTTTATAACGCAGAATCGAACAGTTTAGGGAGAACCTAGAGATCTGAGGGTGCTCAGGGCTGGAAGGGCACCTTTGTATCCCAGAATCAAACAGTTTTGGGGAAACTAAAGATCTGAGGGTGCTCAGGGCTTGGAGGGCATCCTTGTAACCCAGAATGGTCATGCTTTGGGGAACGTAGATATATTAGGGTGGTCGGGGTGTGAAAGGGCATGCTTGGATGTGTGGAGTGTGTGCCCTGCGATCTGAGTGTTGGGTGTATTGTCCCCCAGAAGTCAGTTCCCTCCCCCTGCAGAGTTTGGAGTGTCTCGTTAAGTTTCCTTCTCTCCGCACTGTTGCAGGTAACTGTCCTCTGCAGATCTGGAGGAGGGATCCCCGCCTGGTCCTGGAAGAAGGGATCCTATCAGTCCTGGAAGCCTTGGGAGCTTTTATTTCCTTTCCTTCTTTTCCATCCTGCCATTGGATCTAATCTGCACTGAGAGAAGATGTACCAAAGCCTGGCCCTCACCTCCAACCACGGCCAGTCCGCCTACACTCATGACTCTCGGCCAACTTCCTCCACCACCAGCCCTCCGGTCTACGTGCCCACCAGCCGGGTGCCCGCCATGCTACAGCCCCTGCCTTACCTCCAGAGCTGTGAGAGTGCCCACCAAGGGCACCACCTGGGCAGCCATCCGGGGTGGCCACAGACGGCTAACGAGAGCCACGCTTTCAACGGCAGCAGCCCCCATACCCCCTCCGGCTTCACCTACTCCCACAGCCCACCGGTGGGAAACAACACTGGCAGGGAGGGAGCCTACCACCACCAGAGCCCCCTGATGCTGAGCGGGGGCACCCGGGAACAGTATGGCAATGCCCTGGTACGTTCCGTCAATGGCTCCTACTCCACGCCGTACCCCTATGTCAGCCCGGACATGACACCGACCTGGGCACAGGGCCACTTTGACGGCACCATGCTGCACACCCTGCAGGGGAGATCGGCCTTACAGGGCAGGAGATCCAGTCTAGGTAGGTATAGTCCAGGGTGGCACAGCCCTCTCTTTATAAAAAAAGCATTACGCATTATACTGGGGAATCAAACTGAATGTTAGCACTGGAATCATGGAGAGAAATCCTATGTATGAATCTACTATTCGTGTATGGAGATATTGCTTTTTATATCAGTTTAATCTCATACCTGTCATTGTACATTAGGTATAGAAGCATATTCAATTATTATTACAATCATTATTATTATTATTATTATTATTCACAGCCTATACATCATGGTAATGTTGGGACTTCTGCTCTACTATTCCCCTGACTTCCCTAGTGCAGGATAATTGGGAGAAATCTTAGTCCATGTTATACCAGATACAGCCCTGTGCTTGGGTCATTGCTTATATTAATATAGAATGGGATTTTGTTTGTTATGTCCATCATTTTAACCTGATACCTGGCAATGCACAAAATGTATAACAGCACGGAGATTGTTATTATTATCTATTATGTTCATGTTAGGAGCTCTGTTGTACCATTCCCCTCACTCCCCCCAGTCCATTATATTTGGGAGAAAGTGTGGTGGGACCCCTGGAAATCTCAGCCCCCCCCCCCCCCCCCAACTAATTTAATAACAGATTCAGCCCAGTGCTTTGATCATTGCTTTTATTAATACACAATGACAGCTGCTCGAGTTTAGAGGATAAAAACAAAACATTTATCACTGTGCTGGCAGTGTGTGTGGATCCAGATTCATACATATTAGTATTTTTCATCAAGTTATTATAATCGTGTCTATACAACAAGAAGGCCAAGGTGGGCTGAATGAACAGTCCCCCCTTGTATGACAGAGAGAGAAAGGAGGATAGAACCTATTACTGAAAAATGTTAGTTATTGATTTTGTTGTGTTTTTTCTTGAACTTCCCTCCTAACCATTGGATACAAACTAATAGTATTAGTATTTCCTCATTCCTAACCATTAGATACAACTATTGGTATTATTGTTATTATTTAGTATTAGTATTTCCTGCCTCCTATAACCATTGTATACACCTATTATTATTATTATTTATTATTTAGTATTAGTATTTCCTGCCTCCTATAACCATTGTATACACCTATTATTATTATTATTATTTAGTATTATTTAGTATTAGTGTTTTCCTTTTTCTTATTATTTTATTTAGTATTAGTATTTTCCTATAACCATTGTATACACCTATTATTATTATTATTATTATTTTTTTAGTATTAGTATTTCCTCCCTCCTAACCATTGGTTGTAACAAAGTATTATTATTATTGTTAATATTATGTAGTATTAGTATTGCACCCCTCCTAACTATTGGATACAACTAATAATATTATTATTATTTAGTATTAGTATTTCCTCCCTCTTAACCTTTGGATACAACTATTGGTATTAATATTCCCCCCCCCCCTCATAATCCTTAGATACAACTAATAGTATAATTATTATTTAGTATTAGTATTTCCCCCTCCTATAACCATTGTATACACCTAATAGTATTATTATGATTATTTAGTTTAGTATCCCCCTCTAACCATTGGATGCAACTAATAGCATTATTATTATTATTTAGTTTAGTATTTCCTCCCTCCTAACTCCTGGATGTAACTAAACGTATTATTATTATTATGTAGTATTAGTATTTCACCCCTCATATTGGATACACCTAATAGTAATATTATTATGTATTAGTATATCACCCCTCCTCACTATTGGATACACCTAATAGTAATATTATTATTGTTATTATTTTTTTTATTATTAGTATATCACCCCTGCTAACTATTGGCTGCACCTAATAGTATTATTATTATTATTTGGTAGTAGTGTTTCATCTCTTCTAACCATTGGATACAACTAATATCTTGCAAAATGTAATGCTGACATTCTATAAAAAAGTGAGAACATGACATGTTAGAGAAGCAATGATCACCTAAGATACATGTTATATATTGTACACGATCTGATTGTAACGTTGACCCCAGTAATCAGTAATAGGAAGAATAATGTAATGTGCAGTGTGATAGTAAGGGAACGATCAGTCGATTACAATGAAATGTTAATGTATTTTCTTACAGCTAGTAAGTTCCTAAATAGTTTTGCCGACAACCTCTGGTCACTTCAATTAGAATAAAGATTTCTGTTATTTGTTCGTCTAATAGAAGGCAAAATCTAACATTGATTTGTATTATTCTGTTATGATATTTCTCCACACAGGGTACAGGGAAACGTAACTAAACATTTCTATTCAAAGGTGTGTAGTTAGAAAACTAGCATACCCTGTACTTCTGTGGTCTCACCTATAACATTCCTGTATACCGCTCAGATAAAAGAAGTCGATCTCTCTCCTATATCATGGTGTCATTTAAAAACAGGAAATAAAAGCACTTCAAGCAAAACAAATTACGATAAACATGATTTTAAAATACAATTATGAAATGACAATGACATTCTGATTACAATATTCTAATCTCATTACAATGCCCAGCGAGTGTGTATACATTACATTAATTACCAATAGCAATCTCTCTGTACTTGGCCTTTGGCCTGATCATTTATATACCTACTATTGACATGCTAGTATTTCGGAGCAGATAATTTCTCCTATGTGGCAATGGAGGTATTTTATCTAACACAGAGCCCTGATAATATTCAGTTCCCGCTGACACCTGCCTGTCCCTGTGCTGTAAATACCCACAAATGTCTTCTTATCTCATTCCCAGCCTCTTCATGTATGTCAGGGGATTCTCTGCTTAAAGAAAACATTAATGGGGGTGATTTACTAAAACTGGATCACTCAGAATCTGGTGCAGCTGGGCATGGTAGCCAATCAGCTTCTAACTTCAGCTTGTTCAATGAAGCTTTGACAATAAAACCTGGAAGCTGATTGGTTTCTTTGCAGAGCTGCACCAGATTTTGCACTCTCCAGTTTTAGTAAATAGCCCCCTTTGTCTTCATTTGTGTAGGTCATCTCCAGTTTAGACTGGAATGTTCTCATGTGTATTCTTTATTTGTATCCAGTGGATGACATCTACTTTATGTGTAACTACAGTGATACCTGCAGTACAAGGGTTTTATGTAAGAAAAATCATTAGAAGCTGTAAAGAGTAGAAAAATATGATGGGGCTTTTATGCCATTCTAGAAGTATCCATCCATCCAAAGAGAGCCTTGCAACACCTCTCAGCTACTTAATTATCATATGGATGGATATTGCAATGATTGTGTAATAATGTCATGTACATTTCATACACATATAATGAAACCGGTAATATGTACCTATTATTATAATATGTGTGTTTTCTAATTACCATTCTGCATAGTGACTGTATTAATTGGAGAGACTTTGGAATTGCAACAAACATACAAAATAATAATTATAAAATTGACTAGTTGTAGTAAAGCTGTGAAAACTAATAACTAGCTGTATAGATGTGAAAGCATATAGTATTATTATTATTAATAATAATATAATAATAAATCTGTAAAAACATACAATAATAATGATGATAATAATAATGACTAGCTGTGGTAAAGCTGTGAAAACATATAATAATAATAATAGAATTGTCTGGTTGTGGTAAAGCTGTGAAAATATATATAATAATATTAATAATAACAATAGAATTTTCCAGCTGAAAGCTGTGAAAATGTATAATAATAGTAATAATATTAAAATTGTCCAGCTGTGGTATAGTTGTGAAACATAAACATAATAATATAATAATAATAATAATAATAATAGAACTGTCTAGTTGTTGAAAAGCTGTGAAAAACCTATAATAATAATAATAATAATAATAGAATTGTCCAGCTGTGGTATAGTTGTGAAACATAATAATATAATAATAATAATAATAATAGAATTGTCTAGTTGTTGAAAAGCTGTGAAAACCTATAATAATAATAATAATAATAATAATAGAATTGTCCAGCTCTGGTATAGTTGTGAAACATAATAATATAATAATAAAAATAATAATAATAATAATAATAGAATTGTCCAGCTGTGGTATAGCTGTGAAACAAATAATAATAATAATAATATAATAATAATAATAGAATTGTCCAGCTGTGGTATAGTTGTGAAACATAATAATATATAATAATAATAATAATAGAATTGTCCAGCTCTGGTATAGCTGTGAAACATAATAATAATAATAATAATAATAATATAGAATTGTCTAGTTGTAGTAAAGCTGTGAAAACCTATAATAATAATAATAGAATTGTGCAGCTGTGGTATAGTTGTGAAAACATATAATAATAGTAATAATAGTAGTTCCTCCGTCCCGGTTGTGTACATACAGTGGGTGGTGGGAGAAGTGGGTATTTCGGGTGGATGAGGAATATTCGTGGTTCGTGTTGGTGTCGGACTCATGGATCCTGTAGCACGGTGTAGATCCGTGTATTCCGTTGCTGGGATCGGAGGGACACATTCATAGAAGAGGTATTCGCTGCTCAGGAAGCGGCTGGATACAATGTAACAATGAATGGTCCTTCTTCTCCTGAGTGACTGTATGTATGGGGGAGACACCGGGGATCCCGGATATTCTCTGCTCCAAACCGCGGCTGGGCCAGGTCAGCTAGACATGCCGGGCTCCGCGAAGGTAGGCTCACCGCACACTGTAGTCCACCGGATCCCCGGCCTCTGTACCTTCACAAATCTTTACAAATTCACACTGAATACTCCCAATCTGGGCAATGTCACCGTCACCTAACAACACTACTACTAATATTACTAATAATTGTCTAGTAGTAGCTGTAGTAGTGTAAGTAGTAGTAGTAACAAAGTAGTAAATATTACTAGTGGAAGTAGCTATGGTAGTAACATAGTAGTAAATATCAGTAGTAGATGTAATAAAGTTAGTAATATAATGCATTATATTTTATGTTGTGGTGCAGCAGAATGTTGAATTCCTTTGCTGAATATACATTTAGCTTTCATGATACTATGCTATTGTGTTATTAATATACATAGACTATTACATAATAGCA